GTTCAGAAGGCCATGCACTTAGTCGGCATCTTTATTTAACAGGATAATATCGTCCACATACTCCAAGTCAACAAGCTACCCTTCACAGAGTAGATCAACCCTTGTGAAGTGATAGGTCCCCAAGGTTATGTCCATTAGTGCATCTGTAATGAAGTTAAGTAGGAACGGTTACAGCTGTCATTCCTGGTGGGCACCACTAGTTGTCGTGAATCTTGATGACAACTCTCCATAAGCTCTTATACGGCTGTGTGAGATCGAGTAAAAAGCTATAATTAGAGTTATCTACTTACTTCGCACTCCCTTCACAGTTAGACACTGTCACATCTGATGATCGACGGAGTCGAATACTGCCTCCAGGTCAACAAATATGGTAAGTTTCGGCCACCGGTAAGCATACCTGTGTTCAAAAACTTGTTGAAGGGTGAAAATCTAATCGATGCACCGTCGTCCAGGTCTGAAACCTGCCTCGTTTTCTCCAGTTTGTTGTTCTCGAACTCCAGTTAGGCACTGAATGACTATAGACTCAAGGATCTTGGATACGATATTAGTTAAAGTAATTCCCTTATAGCTGTCACAAGAAAGCTTCTCTCGCTTCTCATAAACTGATATGATCAATGAAGCACACCAGTTTGACGGCACAACCTCTGATTGCTATACGCTACCTAGGACCTTCATCACTTTAAGCAACGATTCCCAACCTCCATCCTTGAAAACTTAAGATGGTAAACTGTTAAGTCCTGCTGCTTTGTATCATTTAAACTTCCATACAGCTTTGTCAACATCAGGGAGAGTTAAAGGACTGATATCTCCAACTCTTTCAGCTTCAGTCTACGTGCTGGGCAACTGAAGCGTTACTGTTGGCCAGTAGAACTGTGTTTCAAAGTGTTCTGCTCAACGTACTAGCAGTCTGTCCTTGGAGGTTCTCAGCATCCCATCCTTTTCGCTGATGGTTTTCTTTCCCATATCCTCAGTAGGCCTAAATAGTTGCCGGAAGCTACCTAGTGTCGACACCTTCTCCATCTCACTCACGTCCTGGATTCTACTACTGGACACTATCCATGATTAATAGCAAGAACCAATTTAATTTCAGTTCCGAACACCTCAGGAAGAAGCAACCACCCAGAAGACGACCAGTAGTGAAATATCATCTTAGTACTGAATTTCACTCATAAAAGCTAGTCAGTACACCCACTACCAGGTCTGAAGGTGTTCAGCTTTCTAGGCTTACTGTTCTCGGGCTTTACTTAGGTGCTTTATGATTAGAGAATGTAGAATTTCGCTCGTTAGACTGATTCTCCTGTAGTTATCACAGGAGGATTTCTCTCAATTTTTGAAGCCTGAGACAATCAGAGATTGACATCAGTCAGAGGGGATCATCTCTGATTCTCATACAGCAGCTAACACTTCAACCAGTATACCTAGTACTTCTCAAGGACTATTCCTAAATACCTTTGACACTAACCTATCGGGGCTTGCTGCCCTTCCTTATTTCAGGTTAGTTACAGCCTTCGCAACTTCTTCAAGAGTTGGACGGCCTATTTCAATATTCTGTTCAGAATCCGACTGTGTAATAAAGAATCGAAGACTAGATGGGTGTCACTTGACCTGTTCCTCAGTGTTCTGCCCATCGTTCCTGTCATCTCGCCTGCGAGTAGACACATCTTTCTGTGCTATGGTTTCGCTACCACCCCAGTTTCCATAATAAGTCTGAATAACTCGTCTGCTACTTATCGCCACTATCTTTCGCATCTCTGGGTGAGAACAGAGTACCAAGTAAGTATATTATGCTACGAACTCACACAGCAGTAGGAAATACAATGTAGAGTTGTCGTTTGAGGTAAGGACAACCAGCAGTGTTGCCCTAAGAATGTAAACTCTCACTGCTGCCAGCCGTTTTAAATAGACGTTCTGATGGGTACGACTTGACATACCTCCGACTTCTTAGGGATGGAAGTAATTATCCGAGAGGGCCCGACTTACTTAAAACTGAGAGACTACATTTTCCTATCAGACGCTGACGAAATGCAGTGTTCTCAACATTTTGAGCGGAAACCTGAGTATGTTTCGCAGTTGATAAGTGTCAGATAATGCTATCGGACTGATGCACACTGACTCCTAGTTTAGGGATAGAGAGTCAAGTGGCAGAATGTACTAACCACTCCACTTATTTGGGAAGTTGCATCAACCTAAATCGACTGGTTGCTGACGAAATCTTACGATGGAAGCAGATGGACCATCCGGCACCGGTGATGTCAGAAAATATATCAAAGGATGAGTATATTGTGCAACAGCAGTTCACTTTGTTCTATCGTGCGGGATTGATTGTCATAGAAGGCTACGAGTTTTTGACGACGGATTTCTTTGCAGTACTGCTCTCATTCACTGGAACCACAATGTGAACAACATCAAGGTCAGGTGTAGAGTACTAGGTGAAGAAGGGAGATAAGTTGGTAGGCCTGTGAATCTTCACCGACGGAATTGGCTTGGACATGCGTCACACATACTAGACCGCTGTCTACTTTGGCATCCGACCTTAACCCAGACAGGAATAAGTTGGAGGAACATTTTTGCTAACCTTCATCTATTTATTCTCCCTACTACGCTTCTGTCTACTTTGAGATTACCTTTTTGTACCCGCTTTTTCATGCAGCTGTAAAGTGTAGAAAATTGTTCTGACGTACTTTGTGCAAGGTTCTGATTCACTTGTCTTTCTATCCTCTTGAGCTGTCTTCAGGATTTCATAGACGTCAAAGAACATTAAAAACGGAGAACCATTTTGGGCACTACTGTGGTTTTGTAACAAGACCCCAATTCCTAAAGAGATACTTTTGTATAGATCTATCCATTTGTTAAACTTCATAGTCATTTCTCTCTTGGATATAATTCTAGAGTGCAGCCTTGTTCGATGAATGCGATAAAATGCCAATGTCAAGGAACACTGTGATTGTGCATTTGCTGCACATTTCACAGCATTTGGAGAGCGAATGCGCGGCTACAGTATCCATGACATGAATGAGACGCAATCAGTTCATCATGAGCTAATTGTTTCTAGCTTTTCAAAGACTATGAAATATACTACTTCAGATGCATGCAGCTGATAACAGACATGTTCAAATAGTTTTCGCACTCATTACTGAAAGTTTTGTTCGAGGTGGGTACTACAACACCCTCATATCAGAATGATTGGACACTGTGTGTCGTACTTTGTTGGAGAATACAGTGGGTTACATGACTGCAGTCATGTTTCCATCCTAGAATGAGTCAGAGGTAAGTTTTAAGTGCCAGGTACTTTGTTGCGTTTTCGTACTAGAAGTTTGTCCTGTCCTACATCGTTAGACATGTTTATTTCAACTTAACATTCAGTGCTCCTCTCATAGGGAAGACAGTATCAGCATGGTACTGTTTCCACATCCTTGTTCTGCCGGTATTACGGCCTCACCCCTGAACTCTCATCATAGCGTAGCAACTTATACTATGATGGTAACTGCTTTTCGTCTTAACACTCTCGCGTTGACGTTTGTGCTATGGTAGGAGCTCGAGAGTTCCACTAGGATAGATCGTAGGTCCACGCCCCTTCACCAAGTGAAGGTAGAAACCACCAGTTGTGGTGAGATCATTATAGTCCTGTGTAGTTTATTCATTTGAAGTGAAATAAACCGTTTATTCTGGAGAACTAATGTTCTTTATGGCTGGCTAAAACAATCACAAGTGCGCATTAATTTTGAGTACTCAAAATAAACTTTGTTCATTAGGATGTAATGCTAAATTTTCATCCGCAGCGCGTTCGCAATCCTTTTTTTTCTATAAACGTTAACGAACTGTATCCAAATATGCATAACTCGATACTATTTCATTGATTATCAAACACAGCTGACCTTAAAAACTAATTTCAGACACAATTATATGCATAGAATCGAATTAATCAATTATTACTAAATATTGTAAGATATCTTCGCATGGGTGCTAAGTCATTAGGATACATTTACTGAAATGATAGTATATATAGGCATGCAATTGTACCAACATCATATTATTTTAGGGTTTTCTTAATAAATAAATAAAATGAAGCTGTCGTATGCTAACCAATGTGTCCAGTAGGAGAAGGAGAGTAAACTAATTGTACACATTCGCATACATAACACCGATCTCACATAGTCAGTGGATAAGTACTCGACTATTTTACCATCTTCATCTGTCACGATAATTTTCATTCCCCAGTAATACTTAATCCAATTTTGCATAACTACTAAACTGCTATAAATAAAAAGAACAATTTATAACAGCTAAAGTAAATCAACACATTCAAAGAATAAAACATTGCATTTATGACTAATAGACCACATTTTATGCAGTGAAAAAAGGAAAAGAAAAGAGAAGAAGAACCTATACATTGTTAAAGTACATTTGAGGTTTAAAAAAGATTAAAACTATATCATCATTTCCATGACAAAATATAGAGTAAATATAAGATACCAGTTTTAAATAATGACGATAGAGAGCATATATATATATATATGGAAAAAGTAATCATCATCACCATTATATTAGTAATAATTTTAACAACAAAAAAATGCAAGTATTATTCAAAAGTATTTATGAAAAAAAAAAAGAAAAATGACTACGTATAATTGTTCATACGAGACCACTTTAAATACTAAAGAAGAAAGGATAAAATTTCAAATTATACATAAATATATATGCATCAGGAAAGGGTGTAAAAGATTAGGCGATAAAAATGTTAACATAAAAGAATCTCTGAGTTGAGCATTATCATCGAATTAATTATGAGTAAACTATTTCACACTATACAATGAGAAATAAATATATACAATTATTAACATAGGAATGGTTGTAAGTGAAGATATCTGTTTGACATAGAGAGTAGGAGGAAGGGAGATAGAGAGAGAGAGAGAGAACTCTTCACTTTGCTTCACAGGTGTTACTAACTAAACAAAAAGATTAGGTTCAGCAATGAGATAACTTTTCTTTTATTGTGTTGTTTAAACACATGGGAAATGTTCTACAAAACGTATGTATGACTCATCCAAAAATAAATCAAGATGATCAATTTTAGAGGAAATAGAATGGATCAGTTCTATGGAAACTTTCTCTTCATCAAAATCATTATTCACTAAACCAATATAACTTAAATGTCGATCACCACTATGATCTGAGTGTTCTGAAATAATATTCTTGACCTCAAACATCTCATCGTTTAGTGCACTACTAGTGGTAATTGATAGGGTTGGTGTAACCTTTCCAGTTGAGATAGCGTCATCTTGCTTATCAGGTAGATTTGCAACTTGTTCAATGACACATGAATGCAAGGATACTTTGGGACTAATTTGTGGTGACTCTAATTTTATCCGTTTAACTGGCATAGATATTTCATCAAGTGCTAATGATGTATCTTTGCTAACCTCCTCTAGGTTAGGTTTGACATCAATTTCTCCTGTCGATGAAAGGTTAGGTAACTGACTACTGCTACTATTATCTAACACACATTGTTCTTCTTTATGAGAAACAGATTTGGGTAAACATTTATCTGTGCAGTCATTTTGTTGTTCGCATTTTGAATAAATATTTTCATTTTTTGGAGAAGTTGAGCATTCACTAAATGACTGCTGTAACTGCACTTCGTTGCTGGGAGTGAACAATCATCGGTGTTATTGTTGAAGTAGAAATAACTGACAACATTGTATCAGACGTCGAAGTAAGAAGAGAACGGACAGCAGCTGAAACAACTGCTGAAGACATTTGTGGACTTCCTTCACACGAAGTAATAGCATTTGAAGTAATCGTTTGATCTTCAGTCAGTAAAAAATCCAATCCCATATTCAACGTAGAAGTTGGACATCTTCGTGATAATTGTGTTGAGTTACTAGATGATTCTAAGTTAGCATTGGATGGACTAGAATAATCGTTAGTGCTAGCAACAATTCCACTTAGAGATGATCCTTCTTCGACTGTTGAAGTATGAGTAGAAGTAGTTGCCTTCACAGGATTTTGGTAAGCATTACTGTCATTTTCAACAACTGAGCTTTGTTCAACAGTTACTACTTTAGTCACGCTTGAACTTACACAAGTAGAAAGAAATGATTTTGTCATTGTTGTTGTACACGTCGATGAAGTTGGTAGACTGGATGCAGAAGAAATGGTATCGACAACGCACATATTTACACCTGGAATAGCAGCGATTGAAAAACAACTAGAAGAAATACGTGTGGACAGTGATGGTGAAGATGGTAATGATGTTGAAGCGCTCATCTTATCGGGTGACGATTGTGTTCCAATCCATGAAACTAAAGAATTGAATAAGTTGGAAATAAATAAGATTTAATCATTAGTTTAACAGTCAACAGATTTTTTACAAAATTTTGAGTAGCCTGTCTAACAGACTACAAATATCAACAATAGACTTTAAACAATTGCTTCCTTTTATTCAAGGACTTTAAAATAATAAAAAACATTCATAAAGTCTTCTAGGGTTTGAACCCAGAACAACTTTTAAGATGTAAACACGTGCACAAATTCTAATCAACGACACCAATAAGAATTAAGTTAACTGCTACAATCAGTAAATATAACACATACAGACTGATAGAAAAAACCATATTAGTCGCTTTGAAACCACCAGTGAAACTTGCATGTAATAATCAGTACTAAATGTGAACGCGTGTATCATGAATATGCCTTTTTAAAATAAAAAACTTAAACTTTAGGTGTCCAGAAACTAGATTTCGGAAAAGGTATATATATATATATATATATATATATATATATATATATATATATATATATATATATACTATAGATAATCTGTTAGTGCAAATCATGAAGAGATAGAGAGAGAAAAGAAAAAAATTTACAAAATCTCACAGGTAAAAGCCATATAATACATGTCTTATAATGAAGACTTAAGAAACTAAATCAAAGGCAAATCGAATTATTGTTGGAAATGCACGAGTAAAGCCTGATAGCTAATTCGGAAAATAATATACGCAGAGTCATCACTATTAATTTTATAAAATATTATGGATACTGAATAGACGAGAATTTAATTCATCAACCTTAATCCATAGGGTAAAAATATCAATGTGTAAGTTTTGATTCAGTTTCTGAATCCAAACATTACAAGTTAACGATATTACGAAGTGTTTTTCTCTCTGGTAAATGATTAAGTTTGACAGTAATAGTCAACTCATTATAAGAATTTCCTGAGCGAAATCATACAAATCGGGTGTGGGGAACTACTGAGTAGAGAAAATGAATGTGCAGCCGAGTGTGGATTCCTTGTACGAAAATAGTCAATGTACACAACTCCGCATTTAGCAGCTTTTATAAAAGCACAAACAGCAAGGTATGTGCAAGTATCACTCAACAAATCAATGTCGGTCATTCATAGACAACTTGTAAAGTATGAAGAATAAGATTCACTACCTAGAGAAAAGTTTTCATTTCACACAATTATTCCAATACTTATTAACTACTTAGAGTAGTAGGTTGAAATTATTTCCTCCATATTATAATATCTATATACAACAAATATGCGATAAGCTAACCATCCTCAATATCTGTCAATCGAAAGGTTTTGATATGGTTTCTAACACTGAAAATAAATTGCTACAAAAGTTCAATACTCCACAAACATCAGCATATCTAAATTTACATGAGTATCTAGGACAGGTTTATTTAATTGAAACTAGATGTTCTTCAAAAACAAATGAAATTTTTATTCCTGAATAGTACTTGTACATTTTAACGTCCCAAATGATGAATTGGTCTTCAATTAAATTGCTCTTCATGAGAAACAAAATTAGTTAGATGTATATTCACTCTTTCGTCTAGTTACCTGAATGCATAAACTTCAGTGCCCAGTCTATGAGAGAGAATTTAGACGTGAAAAACAAAAAGTCACATCTGCAGGTGAATTCTTACCTACCGATAAAGATGACCACAAACCGAAGGTACGTGTGGATGAGAAATGATGAAGGGGTAAGGAATAGAAAACGTTGGAAGAGAATAAAAAAGACTAAATGTTAGCTAGACCAAAGATCCTACAATAAGTTATGATTTATCTAACTGAATTTGTGAGAGTTGTAAGAAATAAATGATGAACCAGACGATAAAAATTATTCGCTGGAACCAGTCAATGATGATTATTGCTGAAATGCAACCGAAAACTTAATTTGTTACCCAAGCTAAATTCATCCTACGTTTATCATCCAACACACAAAGTTATTCTATGGGTTCTTTGTCGGTAGGAAGCTTTGTGTATCTGTAACTTAAAAGGAATGGATATTCCATCAGAGATTCTAACCTGCGTCACCTAGTTATGAAGTCAAATACCTTACCACAGAGCTATCAAGACCGCAATTGAAGTCCTGTAGAACTAAATTGCCCTTGAATATGTACCGTAATGGTGTCTTTCAATTAGTGGCCGCATTGCAAAATGATAGATAGAATTTGTTCAGGACTCAAGACTCGACAATATGAAGTTGGTTACTCTTCAGTGATCAATCAATGTACAAAATTATCCTATTTACTACTTTCTTCCAACATTTGATCTTTTCATGTATCTAGTTAAGCTAATGAATTTGTATAAAGCAAGAACAAAATTCACAGAGTAAAATTCTATAGTTTTATTTCACAGATAAACTTAATAGACCACCGAAGATTAAAGTGATATATCCTAACGTTAAGAAATTAAATCATAACACATGAAGTAGTTTACGTTACAGAATTCAAACTATTGAGAAAGTGTAACTCGTAAATGTGTAGTCTAAGATCACTGCTAATTTATATGACATGAGATACAGGAGTTGTAAAGAAGGGAAAACGAATGTTAAAAAAAAAGAATGACTAATATACTAGCTAACAGTTTAAGCAACATTAGACTGGAATCAACTCAGTGAGTTCAAATAAAGTGTTGAAGTTTAAAAAAGGATTTTGTGCAATCGAAATAATACAATATATCAAATCATCATGGTAGTGTGATTGGGTACACTCACTTTGTATATGCATAAGTCAAGTTAGAAATGTTGTAGAACAATTGCTACCGTAGATTAAAGTGATCTATATGTTTGTACGTTTTCTTTTCTTAAATTCCTTACCAGTAAGGATTTTGATTTACACTTTTTGAATACTTTAGATTCACTTATTTTACAGTACCTTGTTTCCTATTTTATACCTAAAGTATATCACTATAGATTTTTTTGTATAATAACCATAATAGTTTAAGGCTAGATACAAATCGAGTTCTTCGTGCTTTTTACAAACTTCTTTTTGTGCTAATGAAATGTACAAAAACTTGAACTGTTGCAAACTTCATCAAGCTTTTAAATGGATTTTGGATTTACCCGATTCATTTAAATACACAGAAAAACATTATTAGTACCAGATCAATGATGATGCATTATGATTTTAACAGAAATATTTTGTTATAGCAAATATATTGTTCTTAACTTTATAAATAATCATAATGGCTTAAGAAAACATACCAGGTTGTGATGCAGGTCGAGAAGCTGTTGATGAATAAGCAGAGTCAATCAGTTCCCCAGGTCCACAGGTGACACCTGAGTTAGCATTTTCTAAGTTATTTTGGTTACCAGGAGAACAAGAATCAGTAACCCATTGAGGAGAATTCATTACATCTTGTTGAGACGTAACTACTCTTGCCGTTTGATTCGTTGAGTGGGCTGATAGTGATTTACACTGAGATGTTGCTGTAACTTTAGATGGTTGTTGGTGCTGTTGTTGCTGCTGCTGAGGAGATATTCTCTGTGCAGGAGATCGACTCCAATCTGATGCCGATGTGAGAGATACATTTGTATGGCAAACAGTAGAAGTCTGCCGTAATCCAACATTCCCTTGCCCTTGTTGTTGTCCACGTAAAGCAGTCTTTGAAGATATTTGATTGAAAGCCTGAGATACAGTTTCTGTTAATGGACCAATTAAAGGTTGCCACTGGTCAACATCACTCGGTAAATCTAAACACAGTGGAGGTACAAGTCGCCAATAGCCATCTGAGCGAACAAGAATACTTTCAGCTGTTTGAGGTACTAACTGTAAAGCGTATAGTATTGTAGTATCAATGCATAGTCCATCTAGACCAGCGGGACTTTTATGACTATATTTTTAATTTTTTTAAAAGCAAATAAATAAATCTATCAATAATGTTCGCTTTTTACCAGTAAAATTAATAAGAAACAAAAGGAATAATAATCTAGTGTACTACATTTTTTTCTCCTTTCAACATGATCACTTGTGAATATTTATAAATTGCAATTAATGTGTTAATTTCTACTCGGGATTGGTAAATAAGAAGGTTGAACATATGAAATAACTGTGGTCAAAAAACCTTAGGCGTTGCTAAGACACCGACTTCTCTTTCTCAAACAACAAAACTACGCCCTTTGAAAATCTTGACTGAGGTAAAAAAGAAATGATAAATATCGAAATGGAAGGGTATAAATGAAGACTATCTTTCACAAAACATTTACTCACTCTCTCTCTCTCTCTCACACACACACACACACCTTTTTGTATGCAACAAAATGGGATGAAACTGATGGAAAAGTAAGATCAAAAAGGGAACATAAGCAATGAAATCATTGAAATAACCACTGTTGTGTATATAGGCTTAATAATCCAAGTAAATTAATGCATTCATATATAAGTAGGTAAGCGATCACTTCATAGTTGCTTCAATCTATTTATTCCTTTGCATTTATTGAGATAAAGGAACAGTTGAATAAGCCACTGATAGATTTCATCAATCAATCTATCCACCTACTTTCTAGTGTACACTGTCCAAATTCTGAAACACAAAAATCTCAAAAAGTAGTAAGGATAGATGGGTGAAAGTGTGTAAGTAAAGAAGGTAGCATAATATTGGAAATAAACAAAAATAGCAACACTACAAGTGGAACGTTTACTACAACAATACACCAACTAAGCAAACAAGCAAATGAACAAACAAATATATTCACAAACCAATTAACCAGGCGAAAAAACAAATAAACAACTGATCTAAAATGAAAACTGCCCGAATTACTGACATTATAATCGATCTTCCGACTTGTATTTAACTAAATTATAACTGGGTAGAAATTAGTCCAGTAATCAGATCTTGAGTAAAATTTTGTAGAGTATGCTTGCGTGTATACGCATTGATAATTCTATGTAGATTATCCACAGGTATTGGATATACATTAACAAATATAATCAAAACTAACGTATACCTACAGAAAGATAATAATTTGAAAACATAAAACAAGAATACAGGTGATGCTAAGTGCGAACATGTGATAGTGCTGATAATAGCAATGACAATAAAGTTTCATCAAGAATGTCTCAAATTAACTGTTGGTATGACGTATGATCAAATGAAATCTTAACACAAGACGAGTCTTTCTGTAAGAGTACAATACTCTATAAGCGAATCTTGATAACAGTCGTAAGGTGTGCGGATTGTCTAGGCGATTATCAACCGCTACTTTTCCACACTTTAATCAGCTTTGAAAAGTGGTGAATGGCGAATTTTCAAGATGTGTCTCCTACTATGTAATGGTGATGTTATACTAAGGAAAAACAGTATGTCTGCTTAGGGGAAGTCGGAGGCTTTGTACGCGTGTACAAAGCAAAACAAACCGCACTAAATATGTCAATGTACTTATTTTGTTTACTTGTGGATGAATGTGATATAAAATGGTATCACTTTCTAATCTCCAACTAAACGATTATAGTTATAGTGTTTAGACTACAACTATTAACCACTTGATCAGACCTAGGTTATCTGCTGCAGTCTGGGTAATGAACAGTTTCATAGGCGGTCACTCATATTCTGAAACGCCAGTCTACGTTGCACGACTGATTTCAAACTGATCAGTTATTTATAGATCTAATTACGATTACATGTATAAGTGTAACATTACATACTGAGACTGAACAGCTGACAGTCTTTCTCCTAGTAATAAAGTAGAACACCAACTGCATTTCTCGATAAGAAAATGAATTCCGCTTAGGCAATATATATATATATATATTCTTGGTGCAAAAAACAGAAGGCATTTTACGAAGACAAAAAGTTTGGTTCATAGAAACCTAGTAAGAAAAAAAAACTTACCCGCAAATTGGACAGTTTAGTCTAGGCCAAAGAACTTCACGGCGAAGAAACGCTTCCATATCAAAGGCTTCTATGTGTTGACAACCTGCGATACGACCAGGTATACGCATTCTTGTGCGAAATACTGGACATATCAAGTTTAGTTCAGCAATAATAGGAGATTGTGAAGGACCTGAAGGTATATTTTGAGTTGAACTACCGTCTTCATTCAAAGTGCGTGTACCAATACGACCTTCCAGAATATCACAAGTGTATTAACACCGGCAGGCCTCCGCCTTTGTAAGCCATCAAGCAGAACATTAAGAGCTGGCATATGGGCCATGAATGCTGCAAACCGATGAGCCTGGTTTTTCAAAAAGTGTTTTGCAAATCAGTATTTCGTAAGATTCGAAAACAAAAATAATATATAACTTAAAAAACACGTGATAAGCACATACACGCATAGTATGTCTTTGGAGTGAAATGAATTGTAACATTCTCATTCACAGCAGAGTAAGTTAAAGTATAGCTATATAATAAAGTCAACGAATCGGTTAAACCTGTGGTGACCCTAAATTGGATTGTTAATATTTTCCAAGGATTAACGGTACGAGTTGATGAATTCAGACTACTCCGTCACATAAATGAAGCAAATGGAATGGGAGAATATTGTGAATGAAATATAATGAATGGATAGACGACATACAATTAGCGCTACTTAAAACCAATTGGTAACCTCGCCTGGTTAACTAGTTTACTAGTTACTAGCCGGTCCTAAGCCCGGGTAAAGAGGGAAGGTTGGGCATAGGGCTAGCAACCCTACCCCGTAAAACAAATCTAACCGCTAAAGAAACTTCAAAGCACAAACAAAATATAAAAAATGAAAACAAACTTATTCCCCGCTGGAATCGGAGAGGCGAAATGACGCCAGTTGGTGAAAGCCTTCGGGAAGCCAATTGGCCGATGTGTCTTCTCTCGATGAAAGCGAAAGTAAACGTGGGGACATGGAATGTCCGCACGATGTTTGAACCCAGTAAGGCAGCCCAGATTGCAAGGGAGATGAGAAGGTATAACATCGAAGTGCTTGGGATTTGCGAAAGCAGATGGAATGGGAGTGGACTCTCCAAACTGTCAACTGGAGAATCAATAATCTACTCCGGTCACCCAGACGCCAACCACGAGCACACTGAGGGAGTGGCTATCATGATGTCCTCAAGAGCATCGAAGGCTCTCATGCAGTGGGAACCAATCTCCTCCAGGATCATGACAGCAAGATTCAACTCAAAAGGAAGAAAGGTCACAATCATACAATGTTATGCACCTACAAATAATGCAGAGCAAGAGAAAAAGGAGGATTCTACAGACAACTTCAATCAACACTGGACAAGACGTCAGTTGGCGATATCAAAATTCTGATGGGCGACATGAATGCCAAACTGGGAGGGGACAACACGGGAAGAGAACTAACCATGGGTCGAGAGGCGCTAGGTGAAATGAATGAGAATGGAGAATTGTTTGCAGAATTCTGCGCATTCAACGATTTGGTGATTGGAGGCAGTGTGTTCAGGCACAAAGATATCCACAAAGCGACATGGATTTCACCAGATGGACACACTAAAAATCAAATCGACTTTATCTCAATCTCAAGAAAATGGAGACGCAGTCTACTTAACACAAGGTCAAGAAGAGGAGCAGATGTAGGTTCAGACCACTACCTAGTGCAAGGAACCTTCCAAATCAAGTTAAAAGCCTTCAAGGAAGCTGGTGATAGACCTCAACCCAAGTACAACACTCGGAAACTGAAGGATGAAACTACAAAGGAGATCTTCAAAGCAGCCATCAAGACAAAATGGGAGACATCGAGCAACATCCCTGAAGAAACCTGTGTGGAAGAACACTGGAAGTCTTTGAAAGCTATGTGGAAAGAAACCTGCACAACAGTATTAGGAAGGAAGAAGAAAGAAGACAAGGAATGGATCTCGACGGATACCTGGAAGCTGATAGAGGAGAGGAGGATGGTGAAGCAGAAGATAAACCAGTGCAAGGATGCTCAACGACAAGAGGAACTGAGCACAATGTATAAAACACTGGACAAAGAAGTGAAGAAGAGTGCACGCAAAGACAAAAGACACTTCTACGACACACTGGCAAGTGAAGCAGAACAGGCTGCAGGTAAGAGAGACCTGACGACATTGTATCAAATAACCAGGTTGCTATCAGGGAAGAGACCAACACAGATGAAACCAATAAAAGATGAAGAAGGAAATTTAATTACAAAAGAAGAGAAACAGAGGAAACGATGGGCCGACCACTTCAAGAAGCTCTTGAATCGACCACCACCTGCACTTCGTCCAGAAATACCACCTGCAGCCGCTGAATTACAAGTGAACATTAATCCCCCAACGAAAATGGAAGTCCTGAACGCCATAAAGCTACTGAAATGTGGGAAAGCAGCAGGACCAGATGGAATACCGCCAGAAGCACTGAGAACAGATGCAGAGACAACAGCGGACATGCTCACACCACTATTGCAGAAGGTGTGGAAGGAAGAGAAGGTACCTGACGATTGGAAGAAGGGTTACCTTGTCAAACTGCCGAAGAAGGGAGACCTCAGTGCTTGCAAGAACTGGCGCGGAATCACTCTCCTGTCCACCCCAAGTAAAATATTAAGCCGCATCATCCTGGAGAGGCTTAAAGACGCACTGGATTCAAAACTGCGACCGGAACAGGCAGGCTTCAGGAAGTACAAATCATGTGCAGACCAAATTGCAACGCTTCGTATCATCATAGAACAGAGCATAGAATGGCAATCACCTCTCCACCTCAACTTCATCGACTTTGAGAAGGCCTTTGACAGCGTCGACCGAGAAGTAATTTGGAAACTGCTTCAATACTACGGAGTACCGCAAACCTTTATCCGCCTCATTCAACAACTATATGAAGATGCTACATGCCAAGTAATCCACAATGGGAAGCTCAGTGATGCCTTTGAAGTGAAGACAGGAGTGAAACAAGGTTGCCTACTATCCCCCATGATATTCTTGATTGTGGTGGACTGGATCATGCAGCAAACAGTAGGCAGCGAGAAGAGGGGGATACACTGGACGACGGAAAAGAACCTAGAAGACTTGGATTTCGCCGATGACTTATGCCTAATGTCACATAAACTTGAAGATCTGCAGGCAAAAACTAACAAGTTGATAGAAGAGGCAGCGAAGACGGGACTTCAGGTGAATATAGAGAAGACAGAAGTGATGAAGATACCGCACCACCACCATCAACAACAACAAACTCCAATCACCGTCAACGGGAGAAACTTAAAGGAAGTAACCTCCTTCACTTATCTAGGAAGCACTGTTTCAACTACAGGCGGGACGGACGAGGACGTCAAAGTCAGAATCGGAAAAGCAAGACAGGCGTTCATTAGCCTGAAACCAGTGTGGAGATCTTCTGCACTCAGCATGCGGAACAAGATACGGATTTTCAACACCAACGTCAAGTCAGTGCTCTTGTATGGCTCAGAGACTTGGCGCGTCACGAAAGGTATTTCCAATAAACTACAGACATTCATCAACAACTGCTTACGCTCGCTGCTGAAGATCAGATGGCCAGAAAAAATAAGCAACAAGGAACTCTGGGAACGAACCAACCAAGAACCTATCACGCAACAAATATGCAGGAAGAAGTGGAGATGGATTGGCCATGCACTGAGAAGGCCGACTGAGGACATCACGCGTCAGGCCCTCGAGTGGAATCCCCATGGGAAGCGACGAGTTGGACGTCCGAGGGTGACATGGAGGAGGTCGTGCGAGCAGGAAATGAGAGGTTGTGGGCTGTCGTGGGACCAGGTTCAAAAGATCTCAGAGAACAGAGGTCACTGGAGGCGTGCTACTGAAGCCCTATGTTCCACTAGGAACCCAAGGGACTAATAATAATAATAATAATAAAACCAATTGGTTAAATATAATCTCATTGCTTAGCTGAAATTCTAAGGGAAAAGTTATCATTTCAACTCGAACAAAATTCCATGCCAAGGTTACTGAGGTGATGACAAACATCTTTTGCGCAATGGATGCCTAGTGGTAATTTACTTCAGAACTGCAGGAAAAGTATAAGAATGTTGATGAGACTGCCTAAGATAGCTATGATTTTACAGGCTGCTGTTTTGATACTGGATGATGATCGATGAAATAAAAGCCTGGATTGTGGCAGGTTTCGAACCAGCAATCCCCAGAATACCTCCCCTTGGTGCTTTGGTTTACCAACTGAGCTGAGAAAGCCAACTCCCGGTTAGGTTTTAACTTCGCCAAGGGTTCCGCCTAGCTACCATGAGTCTGTGAAATGTAACTACCCGTTCGTAGTAATCACATTAGTTTTCCAGTCAGATCTTCTAAGTATCAATAATAGCAGTCTGCCAAACTACAACTATCTCAGATAGTCTTATTAACAATAAATACAGTGCTACCCTTTTTCCATTTGACTCGGTCTAGGCTGAGAAGAGAAGACCTGGTTGGGACATCAGAGAGATTAAGAAAAATTAACAGTTACGTTCCACGGACTCGCATGGCAGGTGGACAAAAGTCACAGACAAAGTCACACAGACTTCAGCGTACTTTAAACTGTTCACCATTTTATCACAGGGAATATATATATATAATACGAATAAAATGTATGTTTTACACAGACAATGAAGTTTTAAAAGCAAAACAGTGAAAAGAATGTATCGACAACTAAATTCCACTTCTTGGAGTAAAAGTAAAAAGTTATCTTAAAACTGATATTCGGTGAATTTTCAACAGTAGGAAATTCCTAAACTTTCATTTTTTAAAAGGCTGTATAAACTTTTTTTCAAAAAATCGTGTTGTTAACTTATGCATAATAATAATATCAGGTTCCATATTGCATATGTTCGTATCATTTCAAAAAATCTATCTAATCACTGTTCTAAGAGGCTTTAAGACGATCAGAGTCATTTGAAACAGTATATATGAAGCTACTGCGTTCGTGTGAACACACCTATTACACAAGCGAAAATAAATCAGTTATTTTCTTTTCAACTCCGAGAATAAGGAAATTAAATAAAAGGCTATGATTAAGGATGATTCAACAAGAGCTAAGGAACACTAAATTAATCTATGAGCTGTCTGACTAGTTGTCGAAGATCCGTATGTCTTATGATTGAGGTAAAAAAAGGATTCGATTGTTGAGGGCTCCAAAAGATATAGTTGAAGATCGATCACAGTGATGAAAACACATTATTGTTCATCCGAACAGCGCTGTCAGATGTATGTATTTCAACTACCTCCTTATCTTTTTTTTACTTGTGATTTCTAATATTCATACTTTAATTTCTGTCTTTTCTCGTGTTACCTTTCAGTAGAATGTAATGTGAGTATTGGCAGTATGAACTACTAGACAGTTATGTCCTACCATATACCTATCTGGAAGTTTTATGCGTGTGAGCAAAATTTTAGACATATTTACTATTCTTCACTTATTTGCAGCCTATTCGCTCATAAACTTTTTTTTATGTCAATATTATTCTTGAAGTATCTACGTGTTCTCTGTGTCCAAGGTTCAAAGTGGATTTACCTGTCTGCTTCTGTCTCTTGATAGCTGAATCACTTGAAACCCATCAACTATGTATGATACGAATACTTCAGACTGTAAAATACATTTTCACTAAGCATTTGTACTTTTACTTCTTGATTTTATGCTGATTATAGCATGATGAGTTAATGGTATAGAGTTTCATACCGAAAGATAGAAAGATAGTTTGTACAGATTCTTAACAAAAGTAATTTGATCTCATGTCTCAGAATATAAATACACAAGAGAGATTGCTGAAGCTCGAATCAACTACAAAAATAATCAATCCATACGCTAACTAGAAAAAACTGTGATTGCGGTTCGCGAGACAGGTGTTGGTCATACTCATATACGCATCAACAAAAATGTCATGGTATGTCCTGTTCACTAAAGTGGGGAACTGATATCCTTCTTCAAAAAAAGGCTGCAAACTGTAGATAAACGTGCGCATTATGTACATTAATGATTCTAGGTGTCAGTAACAACTATCCCTAACTAAGCGAAGATATTATGCAAATGAGATCCACATAGCGGAACAACTGCATGATTATCGAAAACAATCACCTACAAACAAGCTTCAAAGTATAGAAATCCGTAGAAATTCATCGAGAAGTGTTCGTCGAATGCATCATCATTACCATCACCACCTGCAGCAGCAGCAGCAACAACAATAAGAATAATAGCAACCTGTATAATTGTCACAAACAAAAGACAAAGTAGACCTACTATGAGTAAAAGCTTCATTAATCTACAAGTAGATCGTTAAATACCCTATGACAGAAATGTTTTTCTGAATGACTCTATGTTCATCATGAAGCTTGAAGGTCCTGACCTTCGTTTTACTTACTGCGTCGTGGATACGCATTACGAATGCATCGCATACCAGAAGGAAACAACTAACCAATAATTCCTAGGGTTTTTTTGTACGCTGTCCCCAGCTGATTTCAGCCTGTCATGAGAACTATCTCAAAACCAACCAACCGACTTAGCACAAACTATTCAGTAATACTATAAATACAATAAACTAGATAAATTTAACACTTTTCATTCATTATATGAATCGTTATAATCATATCCTAAAAGTATACCACCATTATATATAAGTAGAACAATAGCATATGTATAATGAATACTTAAATGATGATTGAGTCGACTTTGATGAAATAAAGAAAGGAATGACGGAAACATCAAATCTTCGTTGAAGATTGAAGTTATGAGATTTATATCAAAAGACAGTTGACAAGTACAATTAGATAGCTGCTGTTTCAACCATATACAACAGATGGCTACCAGTTAAAAAGTAAAATCTGAAGATTTCTTGCTAACATTCCCTACTAACGGTTAGTTTGATTTACGCTTGTTGTAACAGCCTGTATGATAACATTTCATATGGAACTTGAAAAATATTTTCTATTTAAGAAGAAAAATGCTGGTGGTCATTGAACAATCCAGTGTAGAGGTAATGAAACCACTACTATTGTCCCACCTCAAAGTGTAATTTAAGAACTTGGTGATAATTATTACCCAATTAAATTACTTCTAATATAATGCACAAAAATGAAATGGCCTGGAAAAAGAATATCCACACAGTTCGGTATCACCAAATCAACAGCATAAACAAAACATAATAACCAATCAAAAATCTAGGATGTTAACAGAAACATAATAATGTATGTTCAATATTCCTTCAACTGTGGTATACTATTTGTACACTTTCAGAGAGCAGTAACCTACTTTAATTTAAAAATTTTGCGATGATACACGATTACATAACGAAATTATAAGCTCTGCCTACATGTAATCAATATATGAAATGTATGGTGATATACATCCGCGTGACTTTGTACTCTTTTACTCAGACCACTTGTTGTTTTTCAGTTCAAGTTGATCCAAACTGTTTAGATTTACAAACAAAATAATAATACCGGGTATATTCTACCTCATTTATATGTACAATGTGTAAAAGACGAATTTGGTCTACCTTTTTCCTTTAAATTCATCAGCCTATATGTTTGTATAATACGATGTACATGAATATATATGCATTTATCTGTGTTCATACGCATACACTGAAGTGTTAACAAAACTATCTTTTTATAAAGTCATTGAATGCTATTAATCAAAGGACCACTTGAAGGAAAAGAGTAGATGTAACACAAAGGTTTAGCTTTCTATACGAGGCATAAAACAGAAGATTCATAAAATAAGCCGGTAGTGAAAATTGCTAGATCAATAATCAACTTCAACAATAAAGCTACCTTCTTTCTAACATAAAAGAATAAAAGTTATCAATTTCTACATTAGTCAGAAAATTTACCTTTAACCTGTGTTTATCAGTTGAAGATTTATTAAATAATGAGCTCACAATTGATATACACCAATTACAAAATAAAAATTTTTAACAAACATGAACAACTTACGTCAAGTGTTTGAGCAGTAGCACGACGTTTAGCCATTGTAGACGGTTGATTAGGATCTTCACCAAGACCTAATATAGCTATTTCAAGTTGGTTACGACCTGGTCGGCAGAGTTGTTTAACACATGCTACCTTGTGCGCAGGTTGACCACCGTTCACAGAACTACGATCTAAGCGTAGAAGATAGTCATTAAAACGAATCTGTACAGCATCAGGTGGCCAATGACAAACCTGCAATGGTTCAGATAAAAGATGACTACACACTACAATATCTAAATCGCTACGTCCTACAATTGTATTCAAATGATTCGCAGTCAAATCGAACTCAAAGCGACGTAAATAGATCCCTTCAGGAAGATATTGATGCATAACGTCGTTCAACTGTATTTGAGTGGGGCCCCATACCATACCATTGGTAATCGGACATACCAAACGATCCGTATCTATGTTGAAAACAAATTTTTAAAAACATAAATGACTTAGAAACAGAACAATATATAAAAGCATCGCTGGTTACCAGATAGGTATTAAAAATAACATATACCTTTTAAACACTTTTAGACTGGCAAAACTGAAACAAATTAATGACTTAATATTTCAAAGAAAACGTTTCGTAACATATTCGGCAATCAAGCGGTAATGATGTGATATGTTGTACAACGGTAAAAATATTTCATCTAGTGTGTTCTAAGTTAATCAAAAGCTTGTTTTTATGGTTGCAGTGTGCCTCTAAATCAGATGGATGGGAGTGGACATTAGTCTCACTAGGGTAGTATTCATCATGGAGTGATATAAGTTGGGAAAAGATTGGAAACTTTGGACTATCGGAAAGCTGTTCAATCCTAATATTGGACCGTTCAAAAGCACACACCTACGATCCCCATGAGTGATTGAGCCCAGGACTATCAAGTTCAACGGCAAGCAAGTTGACATTCACCCTCTATGTTACGATTAAATGGTTCACATTCTCTAACTGAATACTAACCTTGGAAACAATTAGTGCCCGCGAACGACCGATTGTGTTAACCATTTTAATCTAAGTGACATTTGTCCGACTACCTTGCAAATATATTGTCAATGAGATTACAAGAATGCAAGTTAAGGGTTGGGCGAAAATTACAATACTGCACTACACCTTGTAGTTGGTTGAAGTGAAACGAAGTGCTGCTTGAGTCTGGTAGAACCATGAAGTGTTGTAAAGGTTAGGGTATAATATCAAAAAAAGAAAGCCAACAAAGGTTTACAATTCTATTAACGTATGCTACACATTCGAGGTTAATAGTGAAGCTCGGAAGAGCAAACACAAGAAAATCAAACATGTTTATCAAGACGTGGTCATGGGTGTATCAACCAGATACTCATACTCCACCAGGTTATGGAACATACACTTACCGATGCCCGATATTAGCTGTATTTCTCGACCTGAAGGCAGTATTCAATTGCACTGACAGAGAGGCCTTATGCGAGTGTCTCCTACTGAAACGTGTGCCGGGTGAGTACTATTGATGGCTCTGTACTCAAGCAAATGTGGGCATGTTACAACCTATGGTCCGCTATCGCGCAAGCTATGTACTTCGAGTGGTGTCCATTGAGGATTCCCACTATTTCCATTCCTATTCAATTTTATTACGGATGTTCTAACGGAGATCTCCCTCACGTCGTCTGACTTCGTAGAAATTGATCTCATCAAAGGAGAACCCTGAGTACACGTAGTGTGCAGATGAAATAGTCCCATTAGGTGAAGACGCTCACAAAATATCTTGAGTGGGAATTTGAGGATGTTTGAGATGCGTTTCTCGACATTCAAATGCAAATTATTACTCCAAAATTGGTCTACGTTGGTTCTCCATTTAACAGTCGGGAGTGAAATGGTTGAGCGTGTTGACCACTTCACTTACCTCGGAAGTCGGATCAGCCCTGGTGGAATCGAAATCGAAAAGCACTCAGCTACCACCACCTTGTGCACATTCGAGCAGCAAACAAGCAACACCTATTGTGTGAGGGGGGAATGATACCACCTCGCTGCCCAAACCTCGGTAGGTGGACACGGCGTCCGAACTCGTTACTCATTTGTTTGAAAGCCATCTCCCTAAACGCATGAGTTAGAGCTCTCTGGTGGGTAAGTGATCGATGAAATCTCTACACGGATACAAAAGATTCGACTGGCCTTCGCCAACTTACGCCTAGTACACTGGCAGTGTTATATCCAATTGTCTATTAGGGATCAAGTGTACTGCGCTGCAGTTTGCTGTGTTCCACTGTATGGTTGTGAAACATGGCCATTAAAGGTAAAGGATATGAGAAAACTCCAGGTGTTTGACCAACACTGACTTGGTAGCATAGCGCATGTGTCGTGGCGCCACAATGTCAGTGATGTAGAAGTTAGGCGCAGAGTTTTAAGAAGACGAGGAAAGTCAATCGATGAGGTTGCGAAAATTCATCATCGTTTGCTTTGTAGCATAATATTAGCTGAAGTAGGTTTAGGGTGGGAGAAGTTTAGAGGTGGTTAGACCAAAACATGGCATCACCCTGTGAAGTCTTTAACTGTCTGCCTGAGGCATATAGGGGAATGCAAACTTCTCGGTTGGAGTCCGTGTGATAAATGAAGTCGATGGTCGCTGGTAACTGGCATAATTCAGAATCGATATCAGTGGCGCAGATGTATCTATACCTTATCTTTATCTATAGTGGTCTAAGTTTCCATCTTTTTCATGTATAAATTTGTAAGAAGGATAAAAATGTTAGCTAACAAAATACGTTCAGTAAATGATAGACCACGGTACATCAATTAGTTTGAGATTAAGGTATGAAAAGCGATTAACTCACACAATTTCACCATAGCGATTCACAATGAATGTATGTAGACATCATTACATTGATTTCCAGCAATAAGGACTATATCATTGTGAGAGGCTATCAGTAAACTTTTGACAACTAATCCAATCCTGTGTCTAATTAATCCACTGTGATAATAAATTGTCAATGTTTTAAACTGTACTAGACTGATGAGTTCAATCGAGCTTGTTTATAACATACCGTAGCTTTTCGAAATACCATCTATTCAACCGATAGTAATTCGTTTAGAGTAAACTCCTCTGAGCAATAAATTCAAAAGTCCTTATTTGCAAAGGTAAGAAAATAAATACATGTATAGAGAATTATGTTATAACTTCAGTTACAGCTTGCAACAACCTCCAGTAATTTAAGTTCAAAAAAGAGCACAGTCTATCCACTTTTAAACTATCAGGTTGAGAAAATCAAAGTGAAACTAAAACGGCATTGAGAATAAAACTTAGCCCGGAGGACGAAACTCAATGAAAAGAACTGAACAAAGATTTCAGATAAATGATTAATAAAACTGGTACAAAAACTCACAAGTATATGCTCCTGCTACACCAGGTGGATAACTTTGAGAATTAGAATTCGGTGGTGCAGACATACGATTACAGTTTGAAGTTATTGGAGAGGAAATACTTTGTGGGTGTGAATTAGGCTGAACTGACTGCGGTTGAAAGTGAACATTTGGTGGAGTTCGTCGAGTATTCGGTGGTCCATTATTCGGATAACACATTTGACTGGATTGTGGTTGCTGTGAGGTATTTATATTGAAGTATGCTGATTAACTTGATTATAGAACATACCACTACCTTGATTGGAAGTATAAGTGCAATTACCCGATGTATTAGGAACTGGATAATGTTGTTGCATAGGTACCTGACTAGAACAGTATCCATGACGAGGAGAAACTGGCACACGCATATTATGATTCAATTGAATATCTATACAATTTACAGATTCATTATATCCCATTCCCGTTGCTCCTGTATTAGGATTATTAGCAGGAGGACCTGAATTCGGCCTCATACAAGTATTACCTGGTTGTGAAGCAAAGGTAACTGGAGATTCTCGACTATCTCCACTGCTAATAAATCCAGAATTCGCCATGGACATCCCTACAGACTGTGTAGATGATATCATAGAAGAACTGAAATTCATATTTCCTGAAGATCCAGGATTCCATGACTGAAGTTTCTTTGACTGTTGATTAACTATTCTTTGACCTGGAGAGAATGATTCTGAAGATGATACAGAAGGTATTGTACTAGCAGTTAGGCTCTTCTTGGAATTGACTCGACTTCCACGACCCACTCCAGATGACGTCTGAAAATTTTAACACAACAGAAGTATTTAACGGAATGAAAATGAATTCAATCGCTAAGTTGAAAAACCTTTTCCATGAAGTGTTTTCACAGAGCACTGAAAAATAAATAAATAAATTTGCATAACTGAAAACTGCTTCAAAATCCTGCATATCTGAGACGTTATGTCTTAAGCTGGATGATAGCAAAGAGGTCAGTGATTTGCTTTCCTGTTGCCTGGAATAGTTTGACAAACTTTTCTGCATCTCAATCAAAATCAATTTCCCTGGGCCTTAAAGTAATGATAACTATACAATACTTTAAGATATAATTATAAGTAATATAATTATCCAGTATTACTATCACATGATATCTCACAGGAGCCCAGTAAACAAACAAAACGAAATTATCATTACACATTAAATCACTTCTATTTTCTTTGATACATTTTTCGATACAAACTTCCAACTTCTTTGCAAACTTTATTTAGTGATCAATAACTCTAAGAAGGTGTACAGTTTGATATCGATTAGTTCTATCTGCTTAGTCTGTAAATAACATTTAGATTTCTTTGACATGCGCTCTTCCGAACTACTACAAATATAGTAATTCGTCTAATAATTCCAACATAAATTGCTATTTAAAATACTGCTTCACAACATTATCTAACACAAATATATCTGAATACTTGAACACAGAACTAGAAAAGACGTTTATTTTTTGCAGGACAACGTTTAATGAAAAGGAATGAAGGTAAACGTAATGCGTATTGAAGTGGGTTTCTGTATCAGCTGGAATGACTAATTAGAATAATAGGAGCTCAGTGTAATAATTCCTTTGATGAATAGTATCTGGATATTCGCAGATGGTATTTGGAAAACATAACTGGAATTTGAAGTCAAATGACTGACTTTATAAAAACCAGTCAAAGCACCCTAGAATATTTGGATTTCGCCGATGATGATTTATGTCTCATGTCCCACAAACTCGAAGGTCTACAAGTTGGCAGGACAGGCAGGGCAGCGAAGACGACATTTCAGGTCAACGTAGAGAAGACAGAGGTAATGGTAATGAAAATACCCAACCGACAACAACATACACCAATCACCACCAATGAGAGAAATTCAAAAGAAGTTGTCTCTTTCACCTACCTCTACATAGGCAAGGCAGCTTCGCTTCAACTACACGCAGTGGCTTCACAGATGAGGACGTCAAAGCCAGGATAAGAAAGACAGAAACACAAGCCCTCATTAATCTGAAATCAGTGTGGAGATCTACTACACTCCACTACACTCAGCATAAAGCGTGAACAACATACGGATTTTAAACACTAATTCAGTCAAGTCAGTCAGTGCTTCCTTGTGATGATTGAGAGACTTGGCACGTTACGAAAAGCATTTCCAACAAACTGCAGACATACATCACATCAACAACTGCCACCTACGCTCACTCGATACTGAAGATCAGATGGCCAGAATAATAAGAATAAGCAACAAGGAACTCTGGCTGGCTGGCAACAAACCAACCAAGAACCCATCGTCCAACAAATATGTGGAAGAAAGTGATGGATTGGAGTGGACATACACTGAGAAGACCGATTGGGGACATCACGCGCCAAAGCTTCGAGTGGAAGCCACATGGGAAACGACGAGTTGGGCGTCCGAGGGTGACATGGAGGAGATTGTGTGAGGAAGAAATGAAAGCTTCTGGAAAGTCGTGGAGCTACTGTGAAATGGCTACGTATTACTGAAGCTCTATGTTTCACTAGAAACCCAAAGGACAAATAATAATAATAATAATAAAAACTAGCCAGTGTGTCGAAATACCTCAAAATGAACCATAAACAATGAATTAGTCTCGTAATAGAAAAAATAATATTATCGAAATTTCTCCAGCAAAAAAATCTGTTAACTGGATTGACATAAACATTAGTTTGATACTACACTTATTACAACATATCAAACCTCTGAACATCACATGAATGAAGATAGTTAACAATGAATAGCATAGGCAAGAAATAGTAATGTAAAACGCTATACAAAAAGATACGTGATCCCCGTTACTTAACTCTGACGTAGACTCACTGTCTGATATCCAGCAAATAATGGAAATCAACGGTGGGAAACTTAATGTGATTGATTGGTGCACATGCATATATTTGTGTTCCCTTTATTTTATCTTTCATAAACCACATTCTTTTTTACTGAGTTTCTCCATCGATGCATACCTTAACCATATCAACAATAGTAGGAAATTGGCGGTTACAAATTGTCTATTGACAAAAAAAATGTTATGCATAATTCTTTAGGGCAAAACGTCCCCTGATTAATTGAAGGGAACAGTACGAAACAATAATATCTTGAAAAGTAGTCACTAATATGAATCCGTTAACTGATAAAATCTGCTCTTGTTTTTCTTATTCATGACTGATATGAACATTGTTAGGAAAACAACCCAGTCGCATTACCTAACTGTAACTAAAGGAAGTCGTATGTGAACAAGTTACTTGATTCTGATACACGGATTACCCTTTACCTATACTGTCCAATTACACAGAGCATAGGTACTTTTGCAGACACAATTACTTGTGTATTGAGAGAAACTATAAAATGTATAGCTGGATCCTTTAAACTTCTCATTGGTATGTTGGAATTACGTTCACCTAACACACAAGTGAAGAAGACATCGAAACCAAACTATAAAAATTAGTAACTATAGGAAGGAATATTCGAGTCCGTGTGACACTAGCTTCCGACTCCGAAAGGTGAACCCTTTGTAGCCACTAGCTCATTGATAAGAGCTACATTCCACAAAAAAAGTATTTACAACTTCGGGCGTGTAGACTATATCGTCCTACTATATGGCAGCACCAAGGCTATACGCACTGGACTTTTTCACTTCCCAACTAGTGTCCGTATAAGTATGATACATGCTCTGTTCATTTTTTTAAGACAACAGTCTAGTGTGACTCAAACCATCATCATCATAGAGATCCACGTGCCATTCATTACAACACACTGTGTAAGAGGTATGGCACTACTTAGGTTCCCGAATATCGGGATGCTAAGAGAGGTTCTGGCCTGTGAACAAGAGTTCCAGTTGTATGACTTGTGGTAGATATGTCACGAGATTGCCAGTTATCTATCAAAACCCAAAGCGGCATTCTCCAATCTAGGTCACTTTCGTTGTTGTCCTGGAAGTGGCTTAAGATTTGTTACAAATTTCAGTCAAGGTGCTTTCATACTGTTTCCTAATGACTATCCCGAGAATGGATGGGAGAAAGGGAGAAGCGCTTATTGGATGACGAACACTGTGGGATGAAAGACAAATGCTTTGGACTAGCATATGTTGACGCCTCAGGAATCTTTGAGAGGGCCTGACCTAAAGGGTTGAAATGATATCAAGTGTGGATCAGAATCCAAACCAAAGGCGATTGTTTTGTAATTTCTTGGGTCGTCTACTTGGAACAGAGAACACAAATGCAATGAGAATTATCTTTTGGAACTGACTGTTTCGTCCACTTTTCCTTTTCTTCTCTTAGACCTTTCAGATACATATCTAACGCTGTGTGCTGAATTTCTTGATGTTCATGATGTACTAAGTTGACATAGTTTCAAGGAATAACAAAAGTACTACAACTTAGAACTTCATTACGTTCACATGCATTCCACTTATTTTACTCTCGATTGTCAGACAGTATTGTCAACCTTAACAAAATAGGTAGGGCTCGTATACTCAGGTAACTAGTCTTTTACAACATCAGGTTGCAGTCAATGCAGTGAAAGGTATGGGTGAAAATGAAATCCTAATAAAGTAATGGAATTTTTTTAAAGAAAACAGTTTTCCAAATCAACTTGAATTATTTTTGAAAACAAAAGGCAGAAACATCGTCCTACTAACTCAATACTCAAATATTCTAATTAGTGTATGCATGCAGAATGAAAGGCATACGTGTGCGTTATAATAGATATGGACACAAACAAGTAAATATACCCTTAATGATCGAAGTACAGACAGATAATTGACCTATGAAAAAAACAGTTGGTCTGAAAGAGAAGTAGAAAGGGAAGAAAGAAAAACTTAACTCGGACTACTCCAGAGCATATAGGTGAAACTTCATGTTTATACACATATGTACAAAATATAACAGTAAGCTCTCAAAGAAGTTATAACCTCATAATACAGAATAAAATAATAACTTGATCAATGAAAGATGCTTCAATGATAGTGAAATAGCAGAACACATATACACGCTTATGGACTATTATACACGGTCTTGAAATTCCAGTCCGAAAACTAGTATATTTAATCCCAAAAACAGGCGAATAAAAAACACAGAAATACCCACAGACAGTGAATAAGGTATGCTGATATATCTAATTCAAAAGTAGAAAAGAGTGAAGTTTGCAAAACTCAAAATATGTAAGGTATAAAATGGTTAATATGCTTACAAACATCCACTCATTCATCCGCCTATAACATTAAAGAATAATCAGGGGAGCAACACGAGGAATAAAGTAAAATAATCGCATAGCATGAAGGACATTATTATTGCCAGATTACATTGGTAAATTTCTATTGACCATCTGTTTAGTTCTCTCCAAGGAAAACTTACGCATCAATGTATGTGCGGATGTTGTGAAGTTGTAAATCACTGGTCTAAGCAATCAACTTCAAGCCAGTGGGCCATAGGTTCAAACCCCACTAACCAAAGTTTGGGGAGCCAGGTAGCATCATTAACCCGTACACAGTAAATGTGGCCCATTGACTGCTGCATAAAAGTGCTCGTGGTTATTAAGTCCATTTCAATTTGGTGTGATTATATAAATTCTTAAAAGATAACTAATAAAGACAAAAACCTATTTATACGGTAGTGGTAATAAGTGTTGCCGTTAGAACATTGACAGCCACAGGAAGCTATGAACAATACAAGTCAGGTTATTAAAGAATGGCAGTCATGTAGTGACAACATACTTAAAACTAATTACAATCAAACATTAAAAAAACACCAATTGACTTAGG